CGCACCCTTTGGAGACTTTATGTTTTTCCACTTGACGCTACATTTAAAAAAAGTCCCCAGAGTCACTAGTTTGACGCTCACGCGCTCGGATTAGTGACTCTGGGGACTTTTTGCTTTTCCACTTGACGCTACAATTAAAAAGAAGTCCCCAGAGATTTGGCAACTCGTCGACGAGACAACTTGTATAGTTCAGTGACCTTGACTTATGTGGTTTATGGTCCACCATGAAAGATATTTGGTAAATATCTGTCAAGGGTCACATATGCTATTGATATTTTGTTACTTTGAGAAGGAATTGGTAAAAAATTCCTTTCCGCTTTCGTCATTCCGTTCCGGACTCATTGAACTTTGTACCTGGGTAAACTCGAGACAAACATTTATATGTATACCTACCCTTTCCTTGATATAATTTTCATGAGTTTTCGCTCAGTCATCGATTTCTGCTACATCGCTGTAAAGTAAGAACAGCCGTTCTCGTTACAATCTTTCAATTCCGTCTGAAAACAAGGTATTATCGACACGATGATGCTCAGAAAGGTGAGTAACAAGATCACTTGATTTGATTATTAAGATCACACGGTTTCTTGACCTTTCTTGCATTTTGACCTTTCCTATACGTTGTATCTTCTATACACTGTATTTTCTATTGAATAACTGGGAAGCGACAACTGATGTGCTACGATGACTCGAGTTAGTTATTCGTGTGTTGAAATGTATATCTTGAAATTAATTTCTTTCAGGTATTTAACCCAGGAATGTACCCGAAAGTGGTACGATCTTTCTCAGCAGCTGCGGAACACGTTCAAGGATATAATTTCGGTTAGTATACTTGTAGTACCTTGGCAAATATATAAAGGGTGTTTGCTAGCAAGAGACACAGGTTGCTTTCCGGCAAGAGACAGATTGACACGTTTAGTAATGGCAAACAAAAATAAAACGATTCATTGTGTTGCGCAGTGTCGCCTGTGTACATTGATGGAAAGTAGCCACAAATTGACACAGTGTAATGCAGAGAATTGTTTCGTCCTTGTTTAATAATGGCAAAGAACAAGAATATTCACTGTGTTACATAGTGCTGCTTGTGTATGTTGCTGAAAAGTATGAAGTGTTATCTAGGTAATCAAGATATAAATAAAATCTTAAAGCCAGGCTACAATACATGGAGTAAGGAGCAAGAGAAAACCATAATATGTAGCTTTTGATGTAAGGCAGCTAAAATGCAGACGTAAATTTTAAAATATTTGCAACACCGACCGCGGTGGCATTCTGACTCGTCGATATTGAGCGTAAGAGCTGAAGTGGGAGTAAGAAATAACATGATTTGTTTCCATTGTCATTAGCTCAATCTAAGACCTGGTCTACAATGAGTCGTTAGTTGTCAGTCAGAAGTCGGAACTATATGTTGATCCTTTTCCTTTCTGGGTGGAAGAAAAAGGATCGACATATAGTTCCGACTTCTGGGCGATCGTGGCGCGGAGGATTGTGCGCTGGTCTGGTAATCTGAAGACCCGGGTTCAAAACCAAACAAAAACATTGTTGGTTTTTCGTTCGATCGCCACATAGCGAAGTGGATACAGAGAGAGTTATAAGAGGTTTGGGCACGTCCCTTCAAAAACGCCTTGTAACCCTGAGGGGAATCAATAAAATGTACTAGTACCATTACTACTAGTTCCGACTTTTGACTATCGACTAACAACTCATTGTAGACCGGGCTTAATTGTAATCGTTCAGACTTTAACATCAGTCCGAAAATATCACTCTTCCTTCTGTATCAACGGTCCTTTGTTGCAATTGACCACAGGTAACAGCTTTGTACACCTACACTAATTTCGAATATTGTTTTAATTACGCAATTAATTGTACTTTATAGCGCTCGCATTTAAAGATCCTCACTCTATCAAGTTCTCGTGCGAGTTTCAAGACTTTCAATCGTCATAAGATGACGATCTACGTATCGAGGCAATAACCATGCGCTGCTTAGGGTATTTTCAACACGATTAATTTACCCATTCTTAATTACGACTGTAAAAACTACGTCCATAATTTAACATCAATGACTATATATTTTTTTTTAACAAGAATGTTAAATACCAAGCCGTTTGGCGCTGAAGATGACCCAAAAAAGGGCTGGAAAAGTTTGGTTTTTAGAATCCAAATCTATTAATAATTAATTTGCATATAACTCTCGTCTGATATTAATTTAATACATGCGTTCTACCGTTCTCTTATTTCATTAACTTCATATATTTATTTCTTGTCCTTACTTAATATTCGACTCCCATACAGCACCAAAGCTTTCAGAAACATTTCAGAAAACATTGTTGCGATGTTTCTGAAATGTTTCTGAAAGTTTCGGTGCTGTATGGGCTCTCATCGCCCTTTCTTACATTGAATATTATTATTGGAGTCATTAGTTTTGTTTAGTTTAAAATTGACCTATTTCCTTACTCTAGGCTTACCCCACGTACTGTAGACCGGGCCTTAAGGAATCTTAAAGAAGTGGAAAAGATCGGTGCGAATATATGTTCGCAGAAATGCTCATTTATGTAACTACGGTTATAAATAAACATGTTGGACGGATGAAATAAATTGAATCAAATACATCGGGAAATAGAAGGGCACGATTTCATCATTTGATCGCTATCTCGCATTCTTTTGTAGACAGGATTTTAATTAAGGTTTCAATTATTTTCAAGGTTTTAATTTCCCTAGTAAGACAAATTTGAATGTATATTGCATTTATATCCATTTGTTTTTACCTGTTTTTATGAAGATGTTAAATTTAATATAAAATTTGAATATGTATATTGTATGATTATATCCATTCGTTCAGCTTTTGCATAAAACGGTTACGTTTAATCTTAACATATCTTGGAATAAATAAAGTCGAATAAAATATATATGTGCACTATTTTTTAATATATACTAAGAAATGTTTTAGGTATGTTCTCATATTTGTTTTGAAAATATTTTGTAAATATCATAAAAAACAGATACGCGTATCTTAAATAGATTGTATCATCGGTTGAAAGTACAAAGTTTAATTTTTATAAGAAGCTTTTTATATATGAAAGTATATTTATTTTTACATATCAAATAAAAATTACGCAAGTAATTGTAATAGTATGTATCATATTTAAATAAATAAGTTAATTCCTAAGTATATATATTTTTCCATGTCTTAATGTATTTGACTACAATATTGTAAATATTGTAATATAAAAATATTTTTAGAGTTATGCACAAAATAGTGAAATTTTACATATATTACACATATTGTTCCAATTAAAAACAAATAGTTGTTACTGTCTCTTTGGATTGTTCTAGAACTGTCCGATACTCAAAAGGAGATGCAAGAACTAGCGCGGAAATTTACCAAGGAAGAGATTATCCCAGTAGCTGCAGAATACGATAGAACTGGAAAATATCCATGGGACATTATTAAAAAGGCATGGAGTATTGGTCTTCTGAATAAACACATTCCGCAACATTGTGGTAAGCTTCATCTATACACTATCAAAATTTTATATGTATTTTATATGCAAAGTAATATGATATATTGACAAAGTAAAATATAATATTGTTGGAGCAAAACTAAGATAATAATTATTACTGATACTTATTATTTATTCTAGGTGGTATGGAAGCGAGCGTTTTTGATGCATGTATGGTTACGGAAGAATTGGCTTATGGTTGTACAGGGGTAGCAACTGCAATAGAAACCACAGGTCTTGGAGTAAGTTTTATTATACGAACAGTACCTTACTTCTATGTTACATGAAATTCTAACGATTCTTTCAGTAAATTAAAAATTAATATTTTTGAGATTATATATTTTAATTAACTCATTTAATGTGTTATATATATATTGTAAAGTACATTTTAGTTATTTGTTAGAAATAGCAATACGCGGAAAGACACCTGGATCTCTGAGGTATTGGAGTAGTAAATCATTTGCACTGTTAACTTTCACTAACGTTGCTTAAATTACACTTGACAATACAAAGAATGTTGCAACAACTTGAATCACTGAGACCGATACTCTTATATACTGTCTCGAGATATAATAGAGAACTGTTCGAGGAGATGTACGTATCTTTTGCGGACGGCACGTATCGAAAGCCCTCGAATGATTCTAAGTCCAACCCGGAATAACTGCTCCGTAAATGCTCTTGGTCTACTTCGCTCCGTGTCCCGCGTATGTCTCGCTGAACCGTTGCTCCTTTTCGGGCTTCGCTACCCGCTTTGGCCTGTAACGCTCTCTCTATACATTACCGTGAACAATAGGCACTGACTTTCGTCTCGGGTAAATTACCTGCGTTACGTACAAACCGCATGGTTTCCCCGCGACACCAAATATTTTTACAATATGTATATGTGATGTTTGTATATGTAAAACTCATGAAAAGCTGAGTTGAAAAGTTTCGAGTGATTTTTTTCAACTTATGCTTTATAAGGTAGTTATTTTTAATTAAAAATTAGCTAATCAACATCGTTTCTTAAAGAGACGCAGTAAAATGTTAGCAGATTAGCATCAGATTGGCAGCAAATTTATCAGAAACTTACATCAAAACCATAGCCATATGTGTCCACATTTGGCTTTTGTTTTGGAAACAGAGTCTGTAAAACATACGCTGTCGATAGATTGTAGGCAGAAACCAAGCAGGTCCAGTTGTGTGAGCAGATTTTATTGTAATTCTGCTGACGTGCTGGCGACATATTGAATATATCAGTTTCTGTATGCAATCTGCAGTTTTTCTGCCTTCAACATTTGTAGTGGGCATTTGACGAAATCTGTTTTGACAGATTTGGCTATCTGGGTTAATAAAGCCATAATTATTATAGCCTTGGCATTTCAATATTAAGGTTTTCTCTCAAAATAATCTCAGGATCCTTGCCAATGGGTGATGCGTCAGATCTGTGACACTCTGTATATTAGTCTCAAGAATCTGCCACTACAACACAGAGTTCCATTTTAACTTGATAATCTTGAAATCTCTTTTTCACGTATTTACAGAAGTTAGATACTGTTGTAATAGTCTTGAAACCAAATCAAAAGTACTGTATCTTTTTCCTTTAGCAAACAGTTATTTTTATTCACAGCAAACTCCAGTTATCATAGCTGGAACGAAGGAACAGCAAAAGAAATATCTTGGAAGGCTCATGGAAGAGCCACATGTTGCGGTAAATTTGAAATTAAACTTATATACTATCTAAAGTTAATGTTATATAAATAAATGATATTATTTATACAACAGGCGTATTGCGTTACCGAACCTGGCGGAGGATCTGATGTAGCAAGTGTTAAAACTAAAGCTGAGAAAAAAGGAAAAGAGTATGTAATCAACGGCACTAAGATGTGGATCACAAATGGTGGTGTTGCCAATTGGTACGTTAACATGCTTTAATGTGTACATCTTTTTTTTTGTACACATAAGCCATATAATTTGTATATTACACAAACCATGAACTGGCAACTCGTAAACGTAAAAGGTGCAAACCATAGTATGACTAGCAGGTCCACTCCGTCATTTGTTTCGTTTTACGTCGATCCTTTCTGCGCATCTGACATGTTGTTGGCGCAGCCAATGAGAGAAAAGTTGTATGTGGAGTAGTTTGATGAGTACACATACATATGCTGTTGGATTTGTACCAAAGACTTGGCGGAATACCACGTTATCGTGATCGCCAAGATTAAAGGGGCCGATAAAGTGGACCCACCAGTTATACTATGGTAAAAATTAGTATCATTTATATTTTTAACATAATTTTTTGGCACACAGGTATTTCGTTCTGGCAAGAACAAATCCAGATCCAAAAGCCCCGGCTAGTAAAGCTTTCACAGGCTTTATTGTAGAACGTGAGAGTGACGGTTTAACTCCCGGGCGTAAAGTAATTCTTAGTGATAGTTTTTTTTTGTTATCAATCTACTAAATCTTAAAATTTTGAATTTCTACTGATTTATACTAACATCGTTTGACGTTTTAAGGAAATTAATATGGGACAAAGAGCTAGCGACACACGAATGATAACATTTGAAGATGTTCGTGTTCCTGAGGAAAATGTATTGCTTGGAGAAGGAGAAGGTTTTAAGATAGCTATGAAGACTTTTACCAGAACGCGTTCTCCAGTAATACTTCTATCTATTAGATCCATGTATTGGATGCTTATTGTTAGTGTGAGATTTATGTGAGCCTATTTATATTATAGGTTGCAGCAGCATCAGTTGGTTTAGCTCAAAGGGCTCTGGATGAAGCAACGAAATATGCAATGGAACGCAAAACATTTGGTAAACCGATAGCAGAACATCAAGCAATAGCATTCATGTTAGCCGATATGTCTATTGGTGTTGAGACTGCTAGATTGGCCTGGATGAAGGCAGCTTGGGCTACTGATAAAGGATTACCAAATGCTACAATGCTCGCTAGTATTGCAAAATGTTATGGTGCTGACGTAGCTAACAAATGTGCTACGGATGCTGTACAGGTAATGTGCTATGCAATAACAAATAAATTTTCTAATTAAATTATGCAGTTGGTAAGAGAATTGAATATATATTTCTCTTATAAGTTGCTGCACATGATGATAATTTTTATAGATTTTCGGTGGTGCGGGTTTCAATTCCGAGTATCCGGTGGAGAAGCTTATGCGCGATGCCAAAATTTATCAGATATATGAAGGTACTAGTCAGATTCAAAGATTGATTATATCGCGCGCTCTCTTCGAAGGAGCTAAACTAATGAGCAATTAAATGCTCGCATGTTGAATTGAATTGTATCATAAAATTAATTTTTATATTGAAATATTTTTATGTAGCTTTCTCATGAAGTTACAAAATAATAAACTTATATACATTTAATAATCCAGAGTGTCCCAGAGTGTTGCAAATGATCCAGGCAAATATTTCGAAAAATACGGAAAAACATTTCGGACAAAAGTTTGAGAAAAGAATGGTACAGGACTTTTTTTTTACTTGATTTGGTTTCAAGAATCTGTTGTAATACAGACTTTCACTTTAACTCGGTGCACATGAAATATCCTTGAAGAGTTTTAACGTATACACAAATGTTCACAAAAGTTGGGGCACTTTTGTAACAGTGTATTCTTGGGATCAAATCAAGTAAAAAAGTTGTGTGCCACTTTTTCCTCTGACAGTTGTCGAGATATCGTAAGTTAAATATTGAAAATATTACTGATTTTTCCTTAAATATCTCGAAAAATATTATGCAAATAAAAATGTTTCAGACAAAAGTGATTCGAATTAATCAATGATGACAAAATAATACAATAAAAAATGGAGGATTTTATTGAAGGTAACCTTTACGTGACCTACAAACGACTATTCAAGGTTCAATCATTGCCACTATCTCATGTTCCCCTTCGAAACCAACAACTTTTGTAACTTTAAAACGTCTTTATAGTAATCTGCTACTTGTCAATCTTTCGTTAATTTTTATACTTCCGATGTTTTCGATTTTTATATCTTTCTGACTTTTGATAAGCCGAAAAGAATGACGATTTTACTGAAACGTTTTTCCGTATCTTTTATACTTTGCGAGATATTTGTCCGAGTCGTTAAAAATAAAACACCCTGTATAACGTTTATATTCTCAGAATATACTTACACAGTACATATCAATGTAACATAAATGTTGCGACTTTTATACTTATGTTATATTAAAAAATATATATGTATCGAATACAATTTTTTACATGTTAATTGTGTGAACATTTTTTGTGTAAATATGAAGATAAAATCATAATTCTTTTCGGCATAACAGAAGTCAGAAAAGTGTAATAGAAATCGAAAACATCGTAAGTATAAAAATTAACGGAAGATGGACAAGTAGCGGATTATTATAAAGGCGTTATATGAAGTTTCAATTTTTTTTTATGTAAACTAATTTCTTAGGCATTTCCGTTTCTGTAATTCAAGAGACCGCAATTAACGAAGAGTCCTTTCGTTTTCGAACCCCGCGATCTTGCAACTGAAATGTTGGACGCGTTTCTACGCTCCAACGGCGAGACGGCGAAAAGGTAAACGGCAATTTCCAAGTCGCGGGGTTCGCGAGCGAGCGGACGCGTTTTGAAAGGGGCGCGCCGCGGCGGCAGGCGGCGCCAGCGGCGCCGCGACCGGGAGTGCGTTAGTCAAGTGCATTGTTCATTGAATGCGTATTACGGCCGCATTATGTCCGTCGGACCGTAGCCTTTTTCACGCGGTTTTACTCGGTGAAGTCGCGCGTGACGAGTTATGCAACGTGCGCCGCGTAAGGGCGGCCCGCGCTGGGCGATCGGACACCGCGGCAGCTGACCTACTTAGAGCTCGGCCTATCATCGTCGTGCTCGGCGACGCGGCGGCGAATCGAGTCGCCGACCGTGCGAGAGAGGAGAGAGAGAGGAGGAGGTTCGTGACGGATCCCCGTGGTGGCTCGCGAGAGCGGCGGCCCGGGCCGGAAAGGCCGGCGCGGTGGCTCGTCCCGCGGCGCCGGAACCGCGGAACGAGCGCGGCGAGGAGGGGGACAGACACCTTTTGGAAATTGCGTCTTTCCGCCCCGCGACGGAGCCGATGGGGCGCAGTGCCGTAACCGGCGCGCGGTAGCGCCCGGAACGAGGGTACCAGGTCCGCGCCCCCCAAGCGTGGCGGCGTGTAACGGGTTCGTTCCCCGAGACTCTTTTCTCTCTTTCTCACTCGTCTCGTCTCCCTCCGTCTCTGTCGCATCGCGGAAACGACGGCGCCTCGTCTCGGCGGCGAGCGAGAAAGCGAGCGCCGGCGTGCGCGTACGCGGGATCACGTCCGCGATTACGGTTTTCCCTTTCGTTCGGTCACTGCCGTACGCACCCGCGCGGTCTACCGAGAGGCGCGCGCGCGCGCGCGCGCGTGCGAGAGAGAGGAGAAGCGCGAATCGGAGCGTGCGTGAGCGCGCTCTCGTGACCCCCCGACCCCGGGTCCCAGCGCGGGCGAGGATCGGCGGAGAATAATCGCGCGAATCCGCGGCACCGAGGGGAACTCGCCGTCGCGACGAGTCCCAAGTGTTTGGAGCCGGGACCGCCTCGAATCGATCGATCGCTCGTCGTACACCGTTCGTCCCGCCGAGAGGAAGGAAAAGGAAAGCGGAGGAAGAAAGGATAGGATCGCGGATAGGTACCGGGAGAAAAAGTACGGATATGTGGCGGGCGGCGCGGCCGCTACGGTCCTGGCGGCTCTCGCGACTGTCAGCGGGCGACAGTGCGCCGGACGCTCGCTTGACTCAGGGAGTGCCCGTGCCATGTAAAGTGTAAGTGAAGTGGCCTACAGACCTACATTTGTCTAACGTTCCATTTTTTCGCGGCTCGACGGGAACGGGAGGTTAACGAATATCGCGCGCGTCACCTCCGCTCTTACCCATGGCAAAGCGTGGCGTGTGCGTGTGCCTGTGATGTCGCCGTCCCGTGATACACCGACGTCGGCCGACGAGACGGACGGGCGATAGAGAGAGAGGGAGACAGGTGGATAGACAGAGACGGAGCGAGCGGCCGGAGCGAACGAGCGAGTTAACCGTGGCGGCGGTGCGGTTTCGGTACGCTCTCGGACACGGCGCTCTGACTGGCGCGCGCGCGCGCGCGCGGGGCGCGTAGTCGTGAAACGAGACGGAGATAGCGGGAGAGGGAGGGAGACAACTCGTGACGCGTGCGCGAGAGTGACGGAGAAGGCGGTAGGAGCGCATGAGAGGGAAAGCGAGTGAACGAGACGTCGTCGTCGGCGGGAGGGAGGGAAGGGAAGAGTGAAAGAAAGAGTGAGAGAGAGAGAGAGAGAGTGAGTGAGCGCGGAAAGAGGTACGGGACGAAATTGTAAGAGAAAGAAAGAGAGGGGGGGAAGAGAGACAGAGAAAGAGAGACCGAAAGAGAGCACGTAAAAGAGTGTAGGTGTTCCTCCGCGGAGAAGTGCGTGCGCTCGCGGGAACAAGGTGCGGGAGAGGTGGAGGGAATCCCGTCTGTCCGTTTGTCTGCCCGTCTAACCGCCGGGATTCGCGAGGCCCGGAATGGCTGCGAGGACAGGGGACGGCGGAGGTGAGACACCCGCGACGGTTCTCGATGACAATGCCGGCATCGTGACGACGGCGGGTCCCCTCGCGGAATCGTCCACGTCGTCTTCGTCCTCCTCCTCCGCTGCCGCCGCCGCCGCCGCCGCCGCCGCCACCACCACCGCCGCCGCCACCACCGCGGTGCCAACGGTGATCCTGACGGAGAGTACCGCTACGAGCGCCGGTAGCCTGCCCTTGACGGGATCGCAACAACAGAGCAATCTGCATCAAGTGCACCAACAGCAGCAGCAGCAACAGTCGCGACAGAGAGTCAACCTGATCGCCGACGTAGTCGTCAATGATGCCGCAGGTAACCTCAATGACTCCGCTTTCAGGGCCTTTGTTGTCACTAATGTACCGCTTGCCAACCCCCCTGCCACCCCGCTCCTTTCTCTCTTTCCCGGCTTTGCTCTCGCGTCTTTCTTCTCGTTCCCTCACGCCCGGTGCTCTTTCCGTCCCTCCTATCTCTCTCTCTCTCTCTCCTCCTCTTTCTCTCTCCCGCGTGCTTCAGCTCCTCTGTCGTCTGTTGCATCTCGCGCGCGCGCATTGGTACCGCGTGACTTCTCGAGCCACTTCCGAATTCGCGGCAGCTTCTTTCGCTCCCGTTGAATAAAGATCGCGTAGAGAGGCCGGAACACCCTCCCTCCCCCTTCCAGGGCCGAAGGTGCCCGGTACGGGAAGCGGGACGGCCGGTCTAATCGAAAGGGAGTATAGGGTTCGCGATGAGGCGCAATTCGTTTAATGCGCCCGCAAATGTATGTACCACATATTAACCGCGCGCGGTTTCGATTCCCGCCCGATCACGTGGACTAGGGCTCGCGGGGTGCCCCGCGTAGAGACAACGGCCCCGCGTTCCTGATTTAGTGCCGACCCGCGTAGCCGTGCGCGTAGTGGCGCAACAGGCGTTTCGGAGCGAAATTCCGAAGCCGAGTCGCGCGCGAACCCACCCCTCCCTCCACCCGCCCGTCCGTCCGTCATCGTCTCGAATTTAGAACAGACAGCCTTCAAGCAGCCTCTTTATGAATGCTGCTGGTTGCAGCGCGCACGCCCCGGCCCTTCGCGGGCGAAATAGCGGCTCGCCGAAGCGAGAGCCCGGCCGCCTTTATTCGCAAACCGTTCACTTCTACCCCTTTCCGCTTGCCTCCCCTCTCTCCTCCGCTTTTCCTCGGAGAGTTTTCGTGCTCTTTACATATATCTCCACCTTTCTTCCCGTCTTCCGCCGCGACGCGAGAACTTGCGGGACGGAGCTCTCTTTTCTCTTTCGAGCAATATCGCGATTAACTCCCGTCGCTCTCGGTATCTCTCTTTTTTTTTCATTCTATTCCCCTTTTCGTCACCCGATGCTCTCTCGCCGACTGTGCGCCGCTATTTTCCTCTCCTCATTCACTCGAGACGTAGACTGAACTCCGCGCGAGTCTCCCTTGCAAAAGTTTCCGCCCGGATGCAACGCCGCTAAATCGCTTAACCAGAGACAGGACAAATGGCAGGCCGGTTACGATTTTTGATTAAAAAAAAAATACAGGTGCTAAACAAGGCGCCAAGCACGAGGGAGAACGTCTGAAACTCTGGGCGATGTCCCTGTCGAATCCATGGTGAGATTATCAATAAATTTGTCGAAGTTTCTGCTTTGATATTTGCCCCGTTGTTCCATTTGTCCCAGTTCACCCGTCCATTCGTCTCGTCACTTCCGCACCCCCTACTTCAGTTCAGCGGAATCTAATTAATAATATTCCAAATTGTTGTGAAGGCTCCCGAAAAGAAAAAATATAAAGGAAGGAGAGAATGCCAATGTGAGCCACAAAATGAACAGAACTCGGTTCTCACATGTAAATTCCTCAATTTCTATTTAATATACGTTTCGACCCTTCTTCGGGTCTTCTTCAGTAACTCGTTCAATCGAAAATATAGATCGGCACAGCATCGAAGTCAATCCTCTAATTTTGTCAATCAGTAAATCTCTAAATGGTGCCCGACATAAAGAGGACTGATTAACTCGACCAGGGATGAGTCCGGACGACGATGTTAAAATGACTGTGATAAGTCTAATGTATCTATAAATCTAATTAATAAGTTGCGCGTATTCTTGCTCCGCTGTCGCTTCTTTAAAACGGTTTGCTACACGTTCCAATTCGATTACGTAACGAAGGTAAAGAATACTCCCCCTCGCGTTTAATCTCTCTTTCCCGGCGCTAATACGTTTTGCGCTCGCGCAACGCGAGATGTGCACTCTGTGTACAAACAGATGCATAAATGAGAGGGTCCCGGATCCGTGAGATAAGAGCCCGACGTGCGCCATTGTCGACGCAAGTATCGCCGCATTTAAACGGAATCAACTGAGTCGCGAAAACGTGCCGGATGGCAATCCACGGCTGAGTCTGCTCGCATGAAATTTGCATACAATTTCGACATACGGATTGAAGTGGATAATTAGTGTCACGGAGGCGTCGGACAAGTGACCTGTCCCACTTTTCGTGCAGCTCGCTTCCGTTTTTTTTTCCTTTCGTGACTATTGGCGAGCCCACACTGAAAAAAAAAACAGTCTAATAGATTCAACCGGTCGTCCGTTAGAAAATGGACGAATCAGAATTCCTTTAGGATTTGCCATGAAAGATATTTCATAACCAGAAGTTTGCTAGACTTTGCTACAATTCTGGTAAATCCTAAAGGGAATTCTGATTCGTCCATTTTCTAACAGACGACTGGTTGAATCTATCAGACTTTATTTTCAGTGCAGATCTTCGCTCGTTTTCGAATCGCGAAAACTATTACACTGAGAGACCCATTTTGTTGAATGAACTAAAATTTGGTTGAATCAACTAAATAACTTGTTTCTACATTAAACAAATAGTCTTTTGCGACCAGCTCAGAGATATAGTCTATACTAGTATTTAGTCAGAGAAGCGGATGTCGCTAGTCGTGATCATTTTATCATGCTATCAAGATATTTTCAAGTGCAACTTTCATTTCATTTTTAATTTCTGATTTTTTTATTCCTACAAATGTTAATTTATTTTTTTATACCAACTAGAAACGATAAAACGCGCGCTTCGCGCCCGCAGTTTGTAGTCAAGCATTGCATATTTTTAAGAATTTGTATACACGCGAAGAAGTAATTGTATGCGCAACGTCAATTTAAAGTAAAAAGTAATTTGTCTCTCACTGATACGAGTCGCAACAGCAAAGTTGTACATCGCTAACTATATATGTTAAACTGTAACAATACAAAAATGTATACGATTATTATAGACTAATTATGCAAAATCGAAACTATTGTATTAAACATACTTTATATTTTATATTTAAAAAAATGGGTATTTATTAAAACAATTATATAGAATACTGAAAGTCTTCCTTTTAAATATGAACTCACAAAATTTTATACGTATGGTTTTGTCTTTAACACTTATTCGAATCCACGTTTGAATCATTTGAATAAATAAAATAAAAGCACAGAACAGATGCTTTATTTTGCACAATTAGCAAATAACAAAAATGTTAGACACTTACCTTACGATTTCTCTGCCGTTGCCCGATGCCGCCTAAGCCTGCTCCTCCTCTCAGATTTTCTTGTTGCACTTACACTCACACACTCACTCGCGAAAATCGATCGCGCGAAATTTCGGACACTCCCGTACGCGATGTAAAATACCGTGAAATGCAGTAAGCGACGTTCTTTACTTCCTGCCCGTTCAATCGTTGCGAAGAAGCGACAGAGCGAATTACAGCGCGAACGCCGAAGTCGCACAAATATCTCTCTCTTCCCGAAAATGGAACAGATTACACGAAATCGATAGATAGTTAAAAGCGCGGTGCGTAAACGAGATGTAACCGCGACAACGTACCACGGTTTACTTTCATATTTTAGATGAGTTAATTTCGTAAAATATCCATGTACACGTTAATAAAGAGCCGTCGCCTCAACGCGCAATTCGTTTCTCATTACAAGTTGTAGAAACTTAATAATTAATCTAGTAGCGTTACTTGTCACTGATAAAGGAGTCCAAATCAATAGCGTTTTATCCTTACATTCTTCACGATCGAGTCTTGGAAACCGACAACGCAAAAACAATATCACGCACGGAACGACTCGCGCCACTGCTTGGCGGCTCGACGTTCCGCGAGTGACTGTGCGGCGACCTTAGTGTAAACAATGCTCCGCGCGACGTCGTACGATGCCACGCCGAGTGAAAAACAACAAAAAAACGTTCGTTTTTGTGTTGAGAATTCGTTGGCCCATCTACGTAAATGAAAATTCCGTACTTATCACTCGCCCGCCGAACGTCGAGCCGGCAGGTAGCAGCGACAGTTGTTCCGTGCGTGATATTATTTTTACGTTACCGGTTTCCAAGACTCGATCGCGAAGAATGTAGGGATAAAACGCTGTTGATTTGTACACCTTTATCAGTGACAAGTAACGTTACTCGATTAATTATTAAGATTCTAAAACTTGTAATGAGAAACGAATTGCATGTTAAAGCGACGGCTCTTTATCAACGTGTATATAGATATCTCACGAGACCAACTCATCTAAAACATGAATGTAAACCGTGGTACTTTGTCGCGGTTACATCTCGTTTACGCACCGCGCTTTTAACTATCTATCGATTTCGTGTAATCTGTTCCATTTTCGGGGAGAGAAATTTGTGCGACTTCGGCGTTCACGGCGTAATTCGCTCTGTCGTTCTTCGCAATTCGAACGGAAGTAAAGAACGTCGCTTACTGCATTTGACGGTATTTTACATCGCGTACGGGCGTGTCCGAAATTTCGCGCGATCGATTTTCGCGAGTGAATGCTGTGAGTCTAAGGCCTGGTTGCACCAACGTCGCTTAATTTTAACTTTAGCTTAATTCGCTCGTTGTCTCTTTCTAAGGGAAACAGAGAGAGAGAGAGAGAGAGAGAGAGACGAAGGGTGAATTAAGCTACAGTTAACGTTACGTGACGTTGGTGCAACCGGGCCTAAATGCAACAAGAAAATCTCAGAGGAGGAGCAGGCTTAGGCGGCATCGGGCAACGGCAGAGAAATCGTAAGGTAAGTGTCTTACATTTTTGTTATTTGCTACTTGTGCAAGATGAATCATCTGTTCTGTGCTTTTATTTTATTTATTCAAATGATTCCAACGAGCATTCGATTAAGTGTTAGAGACAAAACCATACGTATAAAATTTTGTGAGTTCATATTTAAAAGGAAGACTCTCAGTATTCTATATAATTGTTTTAATAAATACTCATTTTTTTAAATATAAAATATAAAGTATGTTTAATACAATAGTTTCGATTTTGCATAATTAGTCTATAATAATCGTATACATTTTTGTATTGTTACAGTTTAACATATATATCATAGTTAGCGATGTACAACTTTGCTGTTGCGACTCGTATCAGTGAGTGACATATTACTTTTTATTTTAAAGTGACGTTGCGCATATAATCACTTCTCCCTCTCTCTCTCTCTCTCTCTCTCTCTTCGCGTGTCTACAAATTCCTAAAAATACACACCACAAACAGGGCGCGCGAAGCGCGCATTCTGTCATATCTAGTATTTCTAAATTGTAAACCTTCATTTACTCTGAACCTAAAAGAGAAGTGAAGCACATCGCGCTTAGAGAAAATCAATCGGCATCGCGGAGAAGGGCCTTAACTGTTCGATATTAACGACATTCGCGCTAGTAACATCTCCTTTTTAAATTATATTTAAGGCGATTTTTTTGGGTGGGCTACAAAAAAACTTAGAAATCGATTTGTATCAACTTCTGATTGGTGTCAACTGAAGGTATTCTTACCTGGATATTTACTTGCATTGTTTAAGCTTTTGTTTTTCCTTATAAACTTTCAAACCATATTACGAAAAGAATTTACTATATTATATATTTTTTATTAAGGCTATTCAAAGATACATTTGGGAAAATAAGACTGAATGTTTTTTTTTCTTAAGTGGCCTTAATTACCTTGAAAACTTGATAAAAATGTCCTTTTGGTTACTATTTTAGTACCTAAATGGTTACTTTTAGTCATTTTTTCTGTCAAAAACAGTCACTATTTTATCTTGTAGTACAATACCTGGATAGCAGCGCTGTAATGCCCTAAGATAGTTCCAATTATTTTGAGCGTAATCGATGCAAAATTTGTCGAGGCGCTTTTATATATTTGTCGCAATTCATTAAACGGACATTCTCTGGTATCGCGTGCTATCATAGGCCTCGCAGCGCACAAAAAAATGTCGTTAACGCTCAACTTTCTGTTACGACGCACCGCCCAAGTAATTTATAACCGGTGCAACAATCGTACGTGGTTGACAATGATGTGACACCTGCCGTCTACGATCGCCGAACCATACCCGGAATTGTTGGCACGCGAGATCGCCGCGCGCTTCCTTTAAACGATGGTAAACATATTGCAAACACCAACAACGAGTTGCGAAGCAATTGCGAAAAATTTTTTTTTGTGCAAAAACTAATTGTCCAATCGAAAGAATCGTACGCTTAACTGAAGATAATTTTTTTATGAACAATTTGTTTCCAAATTTCAAGTCATTCGGATAAAAATTGGCCGGGACATGCGAGCGCTCCAGGTACGAAAATGTAGTTTCGAGAAAAACGTGTTTAAAGTTTTACATTCCGATTAGTTTATATGGAGCGATAAAATTTCGTAACTGCTGTAACTCCGGTAATATTAAGGAAAAGTTGGAGATGCGTATTTTCGAGACTCCAAATCTCTTAAGAAAATGCAAAACTTTCGACCTT